CAAGTGTTCAAACTGTCCACACGAGTTGATGTAATTATTTCAGATTTTTCAGGATGACACGGGCCACAAATAAAGACTTGAGACACATTTCAAAAGACCCGTTGACACTTCATAACAACAACAAAAATATGCAAATGGTCAAAATGATCCCAAGGCAACACATAACTTGAGACATTTGCAGCATATGGTCCCATTATGACCATGTGACGCAATCAACAACAAAAATATGCAAATGGTCAAAATGATCCCAATGCAACACATAACTTGAGACATTTGCATCATATGGTCCCATTATGACCATGCGACGCAATCGGTTGGAAATTCAGTTTTTCTTCCATATTCTTAGTATAGAAATATTTTAACTTTTTTGCGCCGGATGCATTACCAAAGCATCCATTTGCAGTATTTTAGCAATCGTATATCCCAGGATTTGCGATAGAGGATTGCATTTAAGACAAATAAGTAATAAAGTGCCCCCCACCCCCTTCCCCTGTTTTGTCTTGCTAGGTTCAGAATCTAGCACAGTTGAAATCCACATATCCAGCGAGCTCCCAGACTATGGCGATATAGATGCTGATGAAGAATCCTTGGGGACGTCAGGGAAGCACTAGCCAACATCACATCGCACTTAACTACTGCTGGTAAAAATAAAAAAACAAAAAAAAAAAAAAAGGAAAAAAAAACCTGTAGAACTCTTTAGTCTGTAGACACGACTCATTTTCTAATTCCCTTGTGTGGCCACTCACAGTAACCTTGAGAACATGATAAATGTGATGTCCTCCACAGTGACTCAAAATTAAGAGTTTAAGGTCTTTTCTACTTTTTAAAATGTGTTTTGTGATGTGACTATATTGCCCCTCCCAATCTTGTATTTTTGCACTTTTATTGTTATTAAATATCAATCCTAGTTCTTACTTTTCTAGTGGTGACTGAAGTTTGTTGTGCAAAGGCACGGCCAAGTTATAATGGGACCTTGTTGGTCATTTTTACGATTTGTTTTTGACATTCTAATATCAAAAGAAAAAAAAACATTTACAAGAATATTAGAACGTTGTAATGTCAATGTCACAAGGACATTTGAACCCTTTCATGCACCCTGTAATCTGATAAAATGATACGCTGTCCACTGTAGTAACCGCTGTCCCCGAAAGGGTTAAACTACACTGTAAAAAAAAATAAATTGCCGTGAACTCAAAATGTTAAGGCAACAAACTTTACAATTGTAAGTGGGGCAATTCAAAAAGATATTTTAAGTTTTGATCATGTGAAAAATGGTTTTCTCACATCATTGTGCTGACACTGTGCCATAAATGTCAATAATTTATATTCTAAAGTTGTTCCAATTTAAATTATAAGATTAGGCCTAAAATAATACAAGTTATGTTTTTGCAGTGTATGAATGAAGTCTAATTCAGCATAAATAAAGAAAATAAATATTTGAATCATGATAAAATTATCAAATAAACATTGTGAGAATAAAAGAAAAAAAACCTTTGCATGAACAAAAATATACAAGAATAAAAACAATGGTTTTTACAATGTTTCAAGGAGGGAAAAAAACATGGGGAAAAAGTTAAATTGCCAGACAAACTTCAAATTTCATTTTTGAAAGTCGTGAAGATAAAATTGTAGTCTTGCAAGAAAAACTTGATTTTCGATAAATATGCAATTGTATGAAGTAGAAAAAAAATATGAGTTATGACGTTCCCGTGAAGTGAAAATGAATGCCTTTTTACACACCACAGATAAATGCTGTTAACCTGCCAAATTTGGAAGGAAAATATTTTATAAAGATCAACTTTATAAAATGAGGCTTGAAAATGGTGAAAAAAATCAAATCAAATAAAAAAAAATCAAGTGTTTCTCTCTGCCCTTAATTGGCGTGGCCGTGGCTGCTAAATGCGGGCAACCACGTGCCACCCAGCTACTATCTGTCAATCAAATGCCACTTGTATGACCTTCCACGCTAGCGCCATCCCACACCGTTCCTGCCTGTCATGTTGGGCTTTTGAAAAATTTCCTTGACCTCACTCTTCCGGCTTCTCTCCTTCACATGCACATGACCGATGAAATTTATTTCAAAATATATATCAGAGTAGTCATTTTACAGGGGCTCTTAAGTAGTTGTACAAGATGTAGCTGGAATTTTGCAAGAAAATAAAAAAAGTGTATTTAACATCGCATTCCCTCATTGGATACAGTTCCTTTTTGGAAATCAGATTTAAAAAAAAAAAAAAAAAGACAATTGATTGCGCAAGTGTTCCGATATCAAAATAGAGTGATTTATTTGAGACACTGAACGACTTGAATGTTTTGTCTTGAAACAGGTGATCACACCCTGGACCAGGGTGCGCCAGAGACATAGTAATAGTTGCTGTCACAGCGGTTCATCCACATTGGCCACCAAACCCACAGCCCAATTTCTCAGTCTGACACAGACAATAATGGCTCTGAAAAAGTCAGAAAAACGAAGGACCACCCGTTGACATCTTATTGTGACATTTGACCAAAAAAAGATGAAAAAGGGGGGGTCTGGGAGAAAAAGTAAATGTCTGCCTTTCACTTCCAGCGGGGGGGAAAAAATCGCAGAAGCCACTGTGAGGAAAGAAAAAAAAATGCACTTCACATTGTTTGAGCGCATGTTGATGGAAAGGGGAAAGGAACAAAAGAAGCAGGGTGTGACGAGTTGAAAATGTGTCATTTGCTGCTAAATCCAGAAAAAAAAAAATTGGGATTGCATTCAGATTTGGATGCTTCAATAGAATTAGCTCGGGGTGGAAAAAAGTGGAAATGTTTACCCGCTGTAGCGGTGCGGTCCAATTAGGTGGGTGTGGCTTTGTTGAGCCCATTCAACAGACAATGCGAAGACGCAAGTGAGCGACCGAAGATGAAGGTGATCATTCCGTAAATTTTGCCGTTTGTGCCTTGACTGAAAAAAGACATTTTGAATTAAAAAGCGGCCTCGTCTCGGCCCATCAGCAAAGACCGCTCTCGCCATTAGTGAGCCCCTAACGTGACGTCAATAAGGTGGACTGTATATAAACATATATACACAGTATATAAGTCTGTGTATTAATCTAATTTACATATCTTTACATTCTTTACATGTACATCCAAAAAAAGGGCAAAATTCTCTTTGTAAACCACACTTTTTCCATACATTTTTTTCTTGTCCGTGTTGTTTCCAATTATTGAGCAAATTGGGCCGGTTTGGGAGGTTTGTAATTTTTTTGGTGGACTGGTGTCCTGGAACAGCACGCTCCACTTTTTTGCACTTTCAAGTCCATCTGTGGAGAGAGGATGGAGGTGGCGGCGGGGGTCTTCAGACGAGCCGTCCCCCATTGGAAGCGGGGCTTCGCCATGGTTGCTTACCCTCATCGTGTCTCCGCTGAGTTGCTGGGAGGAATTCTACAAGCCTTCTTTCCCGTCAATGGCTGCCTTTTGGCGTGCGTCTCAGTTAAGTCATCCTTCCTGCCAAGCAGCTGGACCGCAGAGGCCCGCCGCAGCAGGCGGGAGGGAGGGATAGATGGAGGAAGGGCAAATGACAGCGCCTCCTCACGAGATACCTCGTAAAACTCGGCGAGTCGGCGGTAACTCAGATGTTGTCTTTGCTGGCCTCTAATAGGGCTCACCGTCAACATGCGCCAAGTCTGACGGATTTAAGGTGCGCCGACTCCCCCTGCGGGTGGTGGGTCGCGCCTTCCTTTTTTATTTATTTTTTTGTTGTTGTTGTTGTTGTGCGCTCCAGTGAGGTTTTTTTTTTTTGTACTTAACTCCATCTACGTGCCACGCCCCCCCTCCAGGAGCAACGAGAGCATTTGCTGATGTCTAAAGAAGGCAGTCTGTTGCACATTCCAACGAGTTGCCGGCCAAGTCCGCTATTTCCGGAGGTCGAGGACACATACCTGCAGAGGGAAAAGGATTGTTGAAACGTTGTGTTTGACATAAAAAACACGTGTCCTCTGCTTATGATGAATTTCTGTTTGAATGCGCCATCATCTACTGTGAAGCAAAACAAACGCAGTAGTAAAGTCAATAATTGTAACCCCACCCCAATTCAGTGACACACCCTGCCTCAAAAATCTGCGAGCAATTGACACCTCAAGAAGTTTGTAAATCCCTATAGATTAGAGTTGAGGGGTGGGGGGGGGTATTGTGATTACCCCTCCCACCAATACAGCGATTGCATTTTAAAATTGGATTTCTTTGTTGACTTTTTATTTTTTTAACAAAGAAGCAATACATTAATATGCATTACAATAATTATTATACATAAATATAACCCTTTGTAAATGTTTCTTGTAAATTAGGCTTACTGTAAAATAAATACAAATATAAATGACAAACCAGAATGAATTGAATGAATGAATTGCAGCATTAGGCATTTGAAATTTAGATTTGATTAATTTTCCGGCCTACTATACATTTTACAAGACCGTACAAAGTACTGTCAAAGGGAAACTCCTCAACTCACTACAACCTACTTCCTTGGAACAAAGATACCACCAAATGGCGCCAAAGTGACACTTATTGTTTTGGTCTTAGCGCAGCAAATAGTTGGTATTTGCTGTTTGTGGGGTATTCACTGTACATAAATTATTTGAAGCCTCCAAGCTGCAACGAGAGAGGGAAGCAACTCCTTACTGTCTGTTATTCCCACTCCCTCTGGATGGAACTTTTGTCAGTGTAGTAGGACATGTCTTACTCCAGTGTGTGGGCACTTACTGAGCCATCTGATGCACTTGCACCGACTTTGTCCCCGGTGCTATTCCAGCACACTTCAAAGATTCCACCAGTACCTCTGTAGCTGTGCACTAAAGCACCGGTCTGAAAGGACACCACGAGGGAAAAAAAACGGAATGAGACGGTGCTTTGTGGTCAACCCTGAGGAGATAGGGCCATGGCCGAGACTCACCGTGGTGTTCCAAATGTGCACACATTTGTCAAAGGAGCCGCTGGCGAGGTGCTTGCCGTCCGGGCTGAAGGCCACACTGTAGACGGGCTCCTGGTGCTTGGTTAGTGTGTGGATGCAGACCCCTCGCTCGACGTCCCACAGCCGCACAGTTGAGTCAAATGACGCGCTACAGGCGCGAGGAAAAGTGCGCCAGAGAAAAAATACACCGTAAGTGGGGTTTTTTCCCTTATCCCAGGCAAAGCAGAACTGAAACAAATAAACTATTAACTGAATGGTGCGCTGGTTTACACGAGATGAGGAAGTTGTATTAGTGTGGTGCTGATGATGACAGTTTTATTTCCTGAGTGAATTATCAGCTTTTAGTGTGGGAAGTGGAACACAAGCGTGCACATGTGGGTCAGGGTGCACCACCGTGGGTCACCGAGAGTTACAAGCATTGCAACGCGTTGCCTGGAGTACGAGCTATGTGAAAGAGATTTCCCACCTGGCTAGCATGATGTTGGAGTTTGGATTGCTCGTGCCGGGCCCGGTCGGACTCCACTTGATGGTGTAAATCTCTTTACTGTGAGCCTGAAGGTCGTGGACGCATGATTCTTGTTTCATACTCCAAATCTGGAACGAAAGGAAGGAGACGTGAGCACAGAATGTCCTCCTCCCTTCTTGTGTGTGGTTTGTCTTTGAATCCCAAGACACAGCACTGTTCTCACCTTTAAGGTCATGTCGTCTGAGCAGGAGGCGAGCAGCATTCCCGATGGATCCCACTTAATGGCGTTAACTTCGTTCTACCACACACACACACACACACACACACACACACACACACACACACACACACACACACACACACACACACACAAAATGTGTTCGTTGATGATCATGGCTCCCCAAGGGCGTTATATGAGGAGTTTGCTGGAGTGAAGCTTCTTACAGTGTGACCCTGGAAGGTTTTGAGTGGCCGGTCGCTGCCAAGGCGACACACGTGGATGCACATGTCCGTAC